CCGTGGTGCCACCATGGGGACCCCCCGGCTGTGCCCCCACACCTGCCCGTTCTGTAGGGGCACCTCGCCGGCTGGGGCTGCCTTACTGCCGGCAACGAGCTGGGAGAAAGCTGGGAAAGGAACGGCTTCGTGGTGAAAAAATGGGGCGTCGACAAAGTACCTGCTGGGAATTCTGACAAACTACATCACCCTGGAAAACCTGTGTCCGTAAAAATGGTGAAACTTGGCTGTGACTTTGGGACAACATACAGCTTCAACATACATCAATGGAGAGCAAAGTAGATTTTAAAAAGGAAAACAAAATATATGCTGGTTTCTGTGCCAGGGAAGAAGTCCTGCCGATTCTAGCAGCCCAGGCAAGGGTCCCTGCACTCCAATGAGGGGAGAGCTTCAGCACAGAGCCCTGAAATAGACACGGGCATTTTTCTGCTCCATTACATTCAGTAATAATTACAACGTGCCCTTATTTTGCTCTCTGCTCCTCTACAGTTAAAATCTGCCTCTGCTTCCACTGGAAAAAAATGAGGAGTCCTGTGTTTTAAAAGCCATTTTGTCACAGCGCAGGGAGCATCCACATGAGAAATTAGCTCCACTATTAAACGCCACATTGTCTAGGAATCTAAAATACAATATAGAATGCTTCCCTAGTACTGAATCACAAAGCTGGATTATTTGTCTGTCTCAAACACAAGAAAGGCAAAATCTAGGTGTGATTCTGCTCCTGTGTAATTGGCAGAGCAGAAATAGCTGGAATGTTTGGAGGTGCTGGAGGGCAGGCCCTGCCCGCACACTGACAGCTCTGCCGTGCAAGGGGTGCTCAATAAACCACTTGCTTATTTACAGATGAGCACCCGCTTAGGCTCCTGGCTGAACTTGAAGGGAGAAGGGACAGAAAAATATTGTTAGATTTGTAATTGTCCTCTTCATACTTGCAAGACTTGAATTTGCCAGATTTCATATATCACCGAATAAGATACAAAATTGGAGTAGATTGAAAGAGCTTTCTTGTCTTTTTAAATATATGAAAATTTAATTTATACTGAGTCTGTTAACAATCAGAAAAAAATATAGAGGAAAATGTAAGGACCAGACAACTCTGCGTACATCCACTTAAACTTCAGATGTATTATTAATTCTTCTGCCAGAAGAACCCAGTAAAACAAAAAATCTTGCTAAGAATCCAATTAAGTAATGCAGAAAGAAATTAAAATGAACAAATGTGTATGTCCACAAATGAGACAAGACTGCAAATTGCCACTCCATCTTCAAACAGTCAGAGAAGCCACAGGCAGAACCTAAGATGCTGGTTTAGTTGTCACTAGGGATTTCCCAATGAATTATTTCTAAAATTATCTCTCAACTTTCCACATGCAATTGCCAAGGTAGTGGATATAGTTGCAGCATATTACTTAACTCATAAATCCTAATTATTAATGACTGAGGTAATCAGCTTTTACAAGATTATTCTCTTGCACATAGTTATTCACTGTGCTGCAATTACAGGAATAATTTTGATTCTTGAACAGCCACCTCAGTGTTCCATTTCATGCACAGTGAAAGAGAAACAAAACCTTACGATAAAATTGCCATCATAAGAAAAGTAAAATCAACTGTGTAGTTTAAGAGAAGAAAGAAATGTACACGTGGTTATTCAGCCTTCTGACAACGGCAGGGATTCACTGAAATCCCAAACTCAGGGCCCAGGCAGGGCAGTGAGTCCTTCCCTGGGGCAGCTCCGTGCCCAGCACACAGCCTGCAGTGCTGCACCCTTGGGATGGGGGCAGGAACCTGCAGGGCAGCCTTCCACCATTCCACAGCACTCCAGGTAACTCAGGTATGGACCTAGAGCATCTGTGAGGGACAGCTCCCATTTCCCAGCCACAGGACCTGAAGCTGGTGTCAGGAATCGGCACCTAACCAGAAGCATGTGCGTACCTGCCTGCAGGCAAACACTCTGTCATACCCAGAGCCCCTGTTTACCACAACCAGCATGAGGCAGGTGTGCTCAGATATGTTCAGTGGGGAACATTTTTATTGCCTGAAAATCTACCAAGGAAAATGGAGGATTCTTCTTCTTCTCCCTACAGTCACATCAAAAGCACACTTTGCCTCTCTGCGCAATCAAAGAGCAAATCCAGCAGTGAGACCTGGCTTTATTTATGACCCGAACGTTTCATGTCCCAAGCACAGTGTCCTGTAGGATGTCCTGGCCATGTCCTGCCGTGCAGGTGACCCTGCTGCTGGCTGGAGCCAGGCCCTGCTGCCTCTGGGCTCCCCAGGGCCATTCCCAGCACATCTGTCCCTCTGTGCCTCCCAGAGAGGGGAGGGCTGGAGTGGCTCCAGGACAAGTGCCCAGTTGCTGGTTAATCCCAGAGGAATTGACTGCATGTCCCATGGGTATTGACTGCCAGCTAGGGAGTAGCAGTGTAAATCACATTCTTCTGAAGCTCTCCTGTTTCCCTGGCCTGTTCACAGGCAGCTGAAGAGCCAGCGTGCTCTGCTCAGAGCATTCTCTGTCCCAGAATTAGCATGCAGGGGATAAGGCTCCCTCTGTCGCACAGAAACCCTTCCCAAGCCCAGCAGTGACAGGGGTCACCCCAAGCAAAGAAAAGACGAGGTGTCAGTGTGACAGAGCCAGCACTGGGGACATCCCTGTCACTGCTTTCGCTGCTTTTCCAGGGACATGAGCCAAGGCAGTGGAGCCTCCTTCCAATGCAAGCAGCAGCATTTTCCCAAGGAGGACACGGTTACTCCAGCAACACAGGCAATGCCACAGCACTGCCAGAGCTCAGGAAGGGTCCAGCCTTCCGACCTCCTGCCCCTCCTTCTTTTCTCTACAACTGTACGTAGGCTGTGAGAGACTTTTCTCTGAGCACTGCTCAGCCAAATTATAACTGTAAATCAATCCAAGATGGCAGAAGACATTTAATTATTCCTGTTTTCCCCTTCATTGTTTTTTTTTTGTGTTGCTAAAATATTCAGCAATAATAGAAAGCTTTGCAGCATTCACTAAAAGCTTTAGGGGAAAAGCACATCTCATTGTACTGCAGGAATAAAGGACCTGGTAGTGCAATGCCCATGGAGCATCAAAGTTGAAACAAGATGCTGTTTTACTGCTGAAGTGGCATGAAAGAAAAAGACTAAGAAAGAATGTGTACCCAAGAAACACAACTGAGGACTGAGGTGCTGCTGTCTCTGTGACTCTTGTCATGGAGGTTACAAATTCTTGTCTACGATTGTAAAATGAACTTTGTATTTGCTAATATTTAGACTGATATTACTTGTTTCCCAGCTGATTTCCTGATCATGTCTCTTCCTTTCCTCCTCAGAGGTGGGTGCAGATATTGTCTCCTCCGTGAGAGGAGGAGGGTGCCTGGCAGCTCCAACATTTATAGAGTTGACAGGGAATTTTCCAACTGGAAGTATTTGAGATTTCAATATTTTAACTGTATTTTGTGTGTGTGTATTTAATATTTTGATGTGAAAAACATTTCCCACCTTGCTTGAATTATATGTTCTTCTTTGGTTTTGCTTTTAATTTTCTAACACAGTTTAAATCTCCCAATACTTTCACCAGTGAAACTCCCACAGGCTTCAAGGTAGATAATCATGCCCAGTAAAATTAGGTCAGTGTAACATTAAAGTAGGTGATTTCTGTCAAAGATTATCAAACTTTCCAAAAGTTACACCTATTTCTAAT